GTGTCCCCGGCAGCGTGTGGGGTCTTCCCCGGGTCCCCCGCCGCCGCCCGCCCCGGCTGGCAGCTCCCCAGTTCCGGGCACCTTGCCCGGCCTGTTTACGGGCGGCGGGCCGGGCCGGGCAGCGGGGCCGCCGCAGGCCAGCCCGTGGCAGCGCGGAGCCGCCGCGGCCCCGGCCCGGCCCCGGCCCCCATGACGCGCCAGCGGCGCCCGCCGGGCCCCGCCGCCTCCCCCCAGGTAGGACCGGGCGCGGGGCCGGTGGGAGCGCGGGGGCCGGGCCGGGGCGCGGGCCGGGCTGCGGGAGCGGGCGGGGTCCCCGGGCTGCGGGAACGGCCCCGCAGAAGTTCCCCGCAGCCCCGCCGTGCCGGTTCTAGAAGTTGCTTCTTCCCGGTGCCCTTCCCCGGCGGCGGGACTGTCCCCGCTGTCCCCCGCCTGTCCCCCCGAGCCCGCTGCGGGACTCAGCGCCGCGGCACCGGCAGCGCCGCTGCCAGACCGCGGCGGGTCGGGCGGGCACCGGCGGAGCCCGGGGGAGGATCGGCCCCGAGCGGCCGTGACGGGCCCGGTTCGGCTCCCGGCGCAGAGCTCGATCCATAGCGAATTCCCCCGGAGACGGGAGGAGAAAGCACGGCCTTGCCTTCAGCATCCGCAGCCCCCTGACAAGCCTCGCTGGGGCTGTTCCTCAGGCAGCTGTGCTCAGAGAATTGAGAGAAAACACAATAATTTATAATCAACGTCTGTATTGATTTTATCTGTAAATAGATACTGACAGATAATGAATAGCAAACAGCGCTCCGAGTGTAATTCTGTCTCTGCTGAGATCAGGGAAGGTTTCCCACTGACTTTTCCAAGGCCGGGATTTCACCTCTGGTTTCTATTCCTGGCATTGCCACTGCCTCTGTGACCTTCTGCAAGTTTCTGAGCTTCCTGCTGTCTGATTTCCCGACATTAAAGATACACTGGCTTCATGGCATTGCTGCTAAGTTTTTCTTTGTATTCTTTGAGCTGTAAATACTAAGTACTATGTATTTCTAACATGTATCAGTGTTTATTCCTGTATATGTTTTAATGTGATGGAGAGGGGGTTGCTGGCAAGCACAGCAGGACAAATTATCGACCTGTTCCTGCAAACCTCATTTGTGCCCTCTGACTCCCAGCTACTTTGCCATTTATGGGGAATAATGATCAGACGGATAAGGGCCGGACCTTGCTGTGATGGTGTGTGTGCAGGGGTACATGGACATGCAACACTGCATCTGCCTTTCAGATGCATCATCGAGATGGAGGGGTTTTCTTGGTCAAAGTTTTGGGATTCTGATTTGCATTGATCAATAGACTTCCGTAGAGTTTTGCCCTGGAAGCAAATTCTCAACCAAAGCAAATCAACCTGGGCAAAGGAAATCAGCTCTTGCAACTGATTTAGTCATTGTATCTACTTCAAGAGGCTGCTTCAGTCATTTTGGTTTGTGAAATAAGAATTTGATAAATTGGGATGAAATTGCAAATCTCGCTGAGGTTTTCCAACAGTGCTTTGAAACAATCAGCTAGATCAGGACCCCCAATGTGCTTGTCCCAAAGGTTGTGGTTGCATGGTGAAAGGATAAGGAGTGGGGGGAAAATGTGGTTTAGAGGCAGGGGCAGGCCCATAGGAAGGCTCAGCAGTCAAGACTGTGCCCCCATGATCACCCCGTGTGGGGAATGCAGGGGGCTGAGCCCAGCACGGGCTCAGCAGTCCTGTGCTCAAAGTCTTAGATGGTCAGCAGGGGAACTCTGTTACTGGAAAGCTCTCAGTGATGGATCAAAGCCCCCTGGATGTCTAGTCTCCAAAACTGGAGAGAGCTGTTCATCCAGAGCTGAGCAGGGGCCAGCTCAGGCTGTAGGTGTCAACTTTGAATAGGGGCAGACCCCACCTCTTAGCTGATTGCTGCCTCCTTTCCTTCTGTGTGTATGCATGTACCACCCTCAGAAGCACAAGGGCACAGAGTATCCTTCAAGCTAAAGAGGACTATCACTTACCCTTGGCTTTTATTATGAATGATGTTGTTTTCTACAGTTGTAACCTCATATATAACTCCTCAAAGCCACAGAGCACACGGTCACTTTGAGAGCTTCCACCACCAGTTGCCTTGGCAAGTTAGAACTAGTCTGGAAAAGAGAAGTAAGCAGCAAGGCAAGGATCAGAGCAGGGGCATCCAACCTCATCCCTACCTGCTGCAGTACAACAATCCTTTTGGGAGCCACACTCATCCAACTGGGCAGGGGGAGCTGGTGGGAGGGACAGCTCTAGTCACTAGTGCTTTGGGTCTCACCTCTGTGGCACAGGGTGAAGGTTCTTGCCTTAGTTCACTGCATAGACTCATGGTCATCACCCCTGTGGGTGCTCTGAAGCCCTCGGCATGGGGAGCTTTGGCATTACTAGATGGGAGCTGCGCTGGCCCAGTGAGCACTAAATCAGCCAACAGCAGCTAATCCTTATTAACTCCCAACACTGCCCAAGGATCGTGCTGTGTGAAACGACCGAAGGCATGCATCAAACTAAAGGCTCAGGATGCTGCTGCAATGCCCACTTGACTTCAGAAGCCATGGAGGGAAAGTACCAGCTGTCGAGAGTTTGGTTCTGAAACCCTTTGGGATAACTTGCCTTGGTGAGGCAAGTGCTTATCCACTGCCCTGTTAACGTCAGGGACACTCCAACGCCTCACTGATGCTCCTGAAACCTCAGGACAAGATTGCAGCTTCGTTAACAGCTCTGGCTCTTGCATCAGCACCTGTGAGGCAGAGCTGTGTGACCTGCAGAGGGGACAGCACAGTCCTCCTGTCACCCAGGGGGCTGCAAGTGGTGAACAGCAGGTCCCCAGAGCCCCAGGAGAGCTCTTCCCATCTCTGCTTTTGGGCAGCAGCATGACTGTTTCCAGCACTGTCCCCATTTCCAATGAAGGCAGCTCCTGCCCTGCCTGTCTCTGTGTCTTGCCCTGTCTGCCCCTGTGTCCGCCCCTGCCTCCCTTAGTGCTGGTGGGAGGTTCATGGCTAGACAAAACAAGGTGCTCTCTCCTCAACATGAGACACCAGATGTTCCTGCCACAGACCGAGAGCTGTTTCTCAAGAGCAACAGTGAAAGTCATGTCAGACAGGCAAAGCTGATTCAAACCAGTAAAGATTTCCCACAGCAATTTTGGAGACAGACTTCTTTTGATCCCATACACAGGTAAATTATGAGGACTCTTCAACTTCCAAGTCAGAGACGATAAATAGATCTCAATTCCAGATTTGTTTTCTTCGAAAACATTTTTCTTCTTCCTTTAGAGCTTGATATTTATCAACTATTTATTTTTAAAGGAAAACATTTTCATTGGTTAAAAAAAAGAGTAATTTCCTACTTAGAGGGAGAAGGGAAAGTTCAATGGAAAATTTACAGCCAATTCTACTGAAGACATTTCAACTAAACAGAACAAAGTGCTTGAAAATAGCACTATGTGTCCCCCGGGCTTCAGCCAACCTACTTTCTGATGTTTCTCGAGATGAGGTACCACAGCTCCCACCAAGAAGCTGCTCCAGAGCCCAGCCCATCGCAGCCAGGGCTGGCAGGAGGGTGTATCCGTGGTGTGGTTTGCAGCCCTGGGCTCCTGCAGATGCCAGTTAACTCTCATAATTTTTGCCCTGGCACCAGGACATACAGCCCTCCAAGGGGCCAGGCCAGCCCCAGCCCCTGGCGCAGGTGGGTCTGACCCCTCTGGCAGGGACAACCCCAGCAGAACACAATTTGGATCATTTTTACTCCTATACCTGCCAATTGGGTGCTGCAGCTGCCTCCAACCACCCCACACCCCCCAACTCATCAGATACAGGAACACAGAGAAAACCTGCAGAGCCTTTGGCAGGAACAAAGCTTTGACCTTGGGGCACTGCCAGGATTGCTTACTGTGGGATTGAGCTTAAATGCAGTTTGATTTGATTTTGGTTGCAGGAATGATCTCAAAATGCCCTACCATGCCGGGTGTGCTGGGACTGTGAGAGGAGTGCTCGCTTGGTTCAGGAGTTTCTGTAGAAAGACAATTGGAGTCAGATGTGGATGAAGGAGGGAATGGAACCAGCTTCCCAGTGACAGGATGGTGCACACTGTCCCTCAGGCTTGTGGCACAAGCTCCCCACAGAATCATTTAGGTTGGAAAAACTTCTCAGGTCTTCCGAGTCCAGCCACTCACCCAGCACTGCCAGGTTACTTTACTTTGCTGCAGCTTCCCTCCTTCCTGGGCTGGGTGTGGGAGCAAGGACAGATTCCACACACCACTAAATGTTATTTCCCAGGATTAAGGGTTCTTTGGGGGGTTATTTTTATCTCTCTGTGCAGCAGCACAGGTGGGTGGCTCACGCAGCTGCTTTGCCGAAGCCATTGGTGACACGTGGTGCTGGACCCCCAGCCCAGCTCAGACATCAGCAGCTCTTGTCTGCCAGGCAAATTACCAGGGAAGACGTTTCTTCTCCTGGAAGACAACATGACTCCTCTCACCACACGGCGCTGATCGGGTTAGACGGAGCATGTTGTATTTTTCATGTGCTGGATCCTTGCTGCAGTTGCTGCTGCCTAATGTGTGGCATGTCAAGTGAGAGCCAAACTCCTCTCTGGTGCAACTCCCACCTGGGGATGGTGGGGAGCAATCCTGTCCCAGATGCATCCTGCTCCATGATAAAATATTCCCTGGGCCAAATTCAGAACAGAAATGGCTGCTGCAGTGCCAGGGTCCATGCAACAGCATTTTCTGCCCATGCAGTCCCTGAGCAGGCAGGACGGGACCTGGCCGCAGGCACAGGTGATGCGAGGGCTGGGGCCGTTCCCTGGGGTTTGGCTAAGCAGGGCTGCTTCACCCACAGCCACATCCCTGAGGAAAGGGTAGAGGAGAGCAGGCACCACCCTGCACCCACAGGCTCTGGCCCTCACAAGGGCTCTGGGGCTCACAAGCCCTGTGTGCTGCTGCACGCTCCATCACCAGCCGTCTCCACTCCCCACAGGCCTGGACCGTGAATTTGGTTACGATGGAGACGGTGTCCCTGGAGCACCAGATCCAGAGCGTGCAGCGGCACATCGCTTTCCTAAAGAAGGAGCAGATGGAGCTGCTTCATGACCTGCACCTGGAGATCCTCCGCTTGCAGAAGCACTGCTCAGGTGAGCGTTGGGATGGCCACAGTGTGTGGGAGCTGCCTGCTCACAGAGCACCTCGGGCAGGAAAGCTCCTGCTGGCACCCCAGGGTGCTCACACAGGCACTGGGCAGGATGCAGGGAAGGCATCGGGGCTCAGGGCTCTGCCTGGCTGTGGCTGTGGGGTGCACAGCTGCCGGCCCCCTACCCATGGCCCCACTGCAGCAGTGTCACTGTCCCCTCTAGCCATCCCCACAGGAGTGACAGCTGCCCGGCCTCCTGCCACCACTCAAACTCATTCCAGCTTGTGCCACTGCTCTCATCAATAATTCAGCCGTAGTTAATTACGCCTTGTCTTCCAGCCTCTCGTCCTCACGGATTCCTGGGAAACAAAGACATGTCTGCACTGATAAAACTGGCTATTTTCCCCACCCTTTCTGAGCTTTTGCCGTTCTGTTTCATTGTTTTAATGGCTTCATCTATGGCCTCTCCAGACAAGCAAGACAGTGGGGTTTTCCTGCCTAAATCAGGCTGAGGGGTCTGTCCCCAGGGGATGAAATGAGCCCGCTGCACAATTGGTTATGAGTGATCTCCCCTTCCCAGTGTGACCCATGGACAGCCCTGTCTGACTGGAGAGGTCCTGTCCTACAGGTGAGGTGTGTGGTTCTGCAGTGCTTGTTCTGCCAAGAGTGATGGGGCAACCCCTGGGTAGTTTTAAGGTGACTTTGCTGACATTTGAGTGCCATTATCTAGGGGGGCTGTTTGCAGGAGAAGAGTGGAGGCAGTCAGTCAGTTCTTCCTCACTGGGGCCCTGTGGAGCTGTGTCTGCTGCTCTGGCACTGTTGTTTCTGACTTTTTCACTCTTCCCTTGGTCTCTCCAAGGCATCCCTGTGGGAAGGGCTCTCCCTCCCACAGAGCTCGTTCTAACCTGCCCCTGGGGGGTTGTGGGGACAGTACTGGGGCAGGTCCCTACCAGCCCCCATGGCTCCAGCACAGAAGCTTAGACCCCGGGCTGTATATGTGTCATCCCTACACTTGCTCAGCAGGGCGGTGTCTTTGGAAATAGGCAACTGCTTTGGTTTTCATTTGGAATATATCTGAGATTCCAAACTTATTATTTTAGCTTCAGAAAAATAGCACAATGGCCATTGATTCCCACTGGGGCAGTCAGGAGCACTGAATGCTTTCCAGAAACTGCATTATGTTCTCAGGTACTTCTGCCTTCTCACTACAGATTTGTTTTCCAAGACAGACAGGCAGAGCAGCCTGAGCCAAGTGTTCCATTTCAGGAGGATGGCAGTGATGAGGATTAGAGTCAACATGAAAGCAGATTAAAAGAAAAATGTAGGGCAAAGATTAACCATTTGAACTCATTTTCAGGGGGAAAAAAAGCCCTCAAACAGCTGAATGCTGCTGCTGCCCCCCTCCTCCTCTGCTCAGGGCTGTTGGTGGTTGGGTGGGCTGTGATAATTAATTCAAAAGGGATTGTCTGCAAGAGTGTGCAGAGTAAAGTGAACTCCAGAAGGTCCCTGAGCTGCCCTTTGTGAGCTGGTATTGTAGACCAGGACTAAGCAGAAAGCAGGCAGAGAGCAGGCAGCATGTCAGGGCTGAGCTGGCAGGAAGGGGCTGCAGCTGGTGGGATTTGGAAGGGATTGGGAAGCTCCACGTTGCACTGGAGCAGGGCAGCATCCTTCTGCAGGCACACTGTGCTGGGATGAGGCAGTCCCGCTTGCGTCACACGCAGAGGCAGCGATCGGCCTGGAGCAGTAAATTATGAAATGCTTCGGGTGGCAACTTACACTTTGATCTATTTTCAGTCCATTGCTCTGCTCTTTGCCCTGATTTAAAGCACTGAAAATGGTTTAGCAGCTCTCTTAGAAAAAGGAAAGGCATTGCCAGAGGAATGGAGCCTCCTGCTCCGCTGTGGGATAGGACCCAAGGATGCTGCCTTGGCCACCAGGCTGCTTAATAACATAAATTGCCAGAATTGTCTATTTTTAGCTCAGCCTGATGGCCACGCTCCCACATGGGCCGGCAGAGGCAGCGCTGCAGCCTCAGTGATGTCCAGTGCCCTGCGGGGAGCAGAGGAAGGCACAGGGAGTGCAGCATGGGTGGGATGCCCCTCCTCAGTCCTGTTCCATTTCTCTTCCAGAGCTCACCCATGACCTGGAAATGAAAGAGCTGGAGGCTCGCCAGCAAGGTAAGAGCACAGCTTTGGGCACAAGGTAAGGGGGAGCCTGTGTGGGTGTGTGGGCCACCTGAAAAGCCTGGGCCAGAGGGGACCCATTGGGGCTGCCCAGGGAGGGGACATGGACCTTGGCTGAGGGGACAGAGGGGCTGAGGGCAGGGCTGGGAAGGCAGCATGCAGTTCACAGGCTGCTGGTAGCCCAATAAATGCTGGTGTCACCCAGGAACCCCACAGCTGGCAGTGGATGCTCTGTGAGCAGCCTGGTTCCTCTCCCTCCTCCATCCCAGGGACAAAGCTGAAACTCCTCCCTGGTGCTGCCTGGGCACAGTCCCTGGCACTAAGCCCCAGCCTGCACTGCGTCCTCAGCACCAGGGCTGGCTGTGCCAGGGTGGGTGGGGGCTGCTTTCGCTGGGGCTGTTGGGGTCCTTGCCCTTGGCACCCTCACACAGTGCCATGGCTGGCTCCAGTGGGATTCTACTCTCCCAGCCCCTCCTGTGGAGCCAGGGGCCCCTCCCTGCACCAGTGGGCTCCCTGATGGTGAAGGGTCTGGCACCCAGCCCACCAGGTGCCATCAGGGTGTCATCAGCCACAACGCAGCGAGTCCCACCCATGGTCCCTGCCCGTCCTTTAGCCTTTTAGAGCTGACAAAGAGCACGATCATTTTGCCACATTTATGGGGCAGCACCATGATTGCTTTTCTAATGCCATGCATGGAATAATTACTGCCTGCAACTGCCTCCCTGGGACCTCATTATAAAGCATTTTCCCTCTGCAGCAGCACTGAGGAGCTGAGGCTGTAAGGGACTGCCAATTGTATAGTAAAAAGCAGAGTATTGCAGAGGACAGGAGCAGGCCTGGGCAGGCCAGGGAGCGTGGGCGGGTGCCAGCCAGCGCCCTGCCAAGGGCTGGGTGTCGGAGTGGGTGGCTGGGGCTGCTGGGGGCAGGAGCCCAGCCCAGCCCTCCTGCTGCCCGCTGAGCTCAGCCCTTCCACCCCAGGTGGAAATCCCCCTGGCTGCCTGGCCATCCTGTGCCAGGATGGCGTTGCCCAGAGCCCAGTTTTCCCTCCTGGCATATCAGCTCCTTCTCTGCTGAGCACAGCCCAGCTCCTCTGTAATCTTGGATTAACATCTCCATCCTTGTTAACCAGGCTGTGGAGTCCCAGGGCTTGAGGCCAAAGTTGAGCTGATGGTTTCCCTGAACCACTTCCTTTTCTCTCCCAGTCCATGTATTCCCTCATGTCCTCCGCACACACTCAAAGTCACTTTTAGGGTGAAAACCTAGTTACTTAGGGAAATTTTAAAACTCTGGTTTTAAAGGTAAAGGTGGCAGGTTCCACGGCAATGATGTCCTCCACTGAAACTGCCTTTGCTGTCACCCCACATTTGGGTGTTACATGTGGCACTGTGCCAGCGGCACCGTGGCTCAGGGCTGACAGGGTTCCTGCGCCTGTGCTGGCAGCAAGCCCATGCTCGGGCAGCTCATGGGAAGTTTTGGAGCCCCAGCTCCAAGAAGAACCCGCACAGCCTCAATGGCACCGGTGGGACATGCTGGTACCACGGAGTGGTCAGTAGCCACATCCACGTTGGGAGCACCCGGCAGGAGCAGTGCACTGAGCCACTGCTGCCTCTCCTGACCCCTCTCTGTGCTTTGACTCGCAGATGTCCTGGACCGAGAGCTGGAGGAGAAGTGCCGGGCGATGGAGGCCCAGCTGCAGGAGAAGGAGAAGGACAACCTGGAGCTGCGCAAGGAGCTGCAGCACAAGGAGACGCTGGTGGCTGCGCTGCGCTCCAGCCTCCGCAGCAAGGAGCGCCGGTTCCTGGAGGAGCTGAAGCGTCGGAGCCACCGCGTCACCATTCCTCGACACGGAGCTGCAGAAAGCAGACGGAGGCGGCCGCCTACCTCTCCCTGCAGCTGCACGCCACGGCCCAGCGCCTGCCGGGCCCCCGGGCGGGCGGGCGCCCCCCCGAGCAGCCCCCGGCCGAGGGCAGGCCCCGGCGCCGCGGCCACAGAGCGCCCGCCCGGCGCTGCCCGGGACGGCGGCCGGCCCAGGGACCCGGTGCCGGAGGAGCACGATGCCATGCCCGACCCGGCCCTCTTCCTCTACACGTCGCGGGCCCGCGCCCCGCAGCGCCTGTCCCCGGAGCCCCCGAGCCCCCCGGCCAGCCCCCGCGGCCCGGCCGGCAACGCCCGGGGGCAGGAGGCCGCCCCGGCAGCCCCCGCAGGACCCGGCGGCCAGGGCCAGGTCGCGCCAAGGGCGAGCCCGGAAAGAGGCAGGGGGCCGGTGCCCACGGTGCCCCCCGGGCCCAGGAATAGGCCCAGGAATAGGGGACAGCGTGGCCCGACCGGCCGGGAAGGCCTGAGCCTGGCAGCACCGGGGCGGGCGCCGGCCAAGGTTCTTTTCCCCCATCCCCTCGGGGGGTAAGGGGCAGCAGAAAGCGGCCGCCCTGCATGCACCTCCCACCCACAGGACACCGGCGGGACTCCTCTGCCCGAAGGGTCTGAGCCGAGGGTGGCACCGGCAGAGCTGCGGGACAGGGGAGCACCCACCACCTGGGCTGTGGAGGGGACATGGTCCAGCGCCTGTCCAGAGCTTCCAAGGAAAGAAGGAGAGAGAGAAAGAAAAAGAGAAAAAGAGAGAGAGAAGAAAGAAAGAAAAGAAAGAAAGAAAAAGAAAGAAACAAGCAAGCGTTTTTGTAATGAGGAGATCTTCCTGCTTCTGCTGCCCTCAGAGTGGGCACCAGATGTGTTTTCTCTAGCCAGGGGTGCCAGGAGGTGTGTGTGCAGCATCAAGGGGCTGTGCAGCGTGTGGCTTGGCACAGTGGGATGAGCTCAGCCAGGCCTCCAACCCCGGGCATCACCGACACTGGGCTGGCCTGGAGAAGGCCCAGGACATCACCAGGAAGGTTCTCCAGGATGCAGGAAGCTGAACAACAGTCCATCCTGTGGGTGACAGAAGGATCCCCTTCCACAGGGACAGTGCTGCCGTGCCGGCCAGGTCCCATCCCGCACTCTCCTGTGCAGCAGTTTGGCTGTCTCCAAACCATGTCTCCACACGGATTTCCCCCACATTACATTCACACACAGGACTCAGACAAGGTGGCTGCACAAGAACTGGAAGCACCCATCCCACCAGTCCCCCGTGGCTCCTTGCCTGCCACAGCCGGGCTCCATGTGCTGCTGGAGCAGGGCTGTTCCCTGTGCCTTCCACACAGGGCTCTCGGCACCAGCATTTCAGTTCTTAGTCACATCTAACAGCCAGGTCTGGGTTTGCCACCAAGGGCTGAGCAGCCCCCCAGTCCTCCCTCAGCACCTCCCGTCCCTCCCAGCACAGCAGCCATAGGCAGCTGCCTTCACCCTGCTGGGGCAGCCTTGCCCGGTCTCCAACGAAACTGTCAGCTTTACAATCCATTCCATGGGTGTTGTGAAACACCCCTAGGAGGGGAGGGCTCCGGTGGCCAGGCAGGGCAAAGGTCTCGCTGCTCAGGGCCTGTGCTGCTCGGGGCAATCCAAGGGGCAGGTTTCACCCCAGCACGTGGGCTGCCAGCCCTGGCTGGCCCGGCTGTGCTGGGGCAGCGACACCCAGCCAGGACCGACCCCTGCCCGCAGCCAGTGCCCTGCCTGGGTGGTGGGCAGCAGCCTCCCCCGGGACCCTCGCTGCCTCCACGGCTGGCACAGGCAGGAGGGAGCTGCAGGGGGCAATCAGACCCCATTTCACTCCAGTTCGGTTTGAAACCTCTTCAAAGACATCACCATCATAGACTAGTGAGGCTTGGCCTGCCCCCGCTCAGCCACAGTGTGCCCGTACAGTCAGAGCTGTCTATTTTTGTAGTTCAATATTTATATACTCTATTAAAATGCTTTTATGAGATTTGCAGCAGCAGTGCCCAGGCCAGCTCTTTGGTAAAAATGAACCCTGAAGCATGTGAGCTGCACTAGCAGGGCAGAAATTAGCAGCTTTTGTACATTTTCTTTGGCTGTGATGTGAATAGTCAGGCTTTGGAAGGCAAGACCCCTCTTGCTCCCCCAGGGCACCCCTGAGGGCTTGGACCCCGCTCTCCCCAGCTGCTCCCATGGTCCCTAACACATCCCTGGGTTTGGGAAGAAGTGCAGCAAAGCCATGCTGGACCCTCCTTGCAGGACCCAGGCAGCAGTTGCCCTGGCTGAAGGCCGGCCAAGGTGTGCAGCTCCTGGGGCACAAAAGCTCCAGCAGGAAATTTTTGAAGCCCCTGACGTGTCTGGAACTGCTGCCTCAGGAGCACAGAGCCCCCACCAGCTGCCACCAGCCCTCCCAGACTGTCACCCTGCAGGAGGCTGCACAGAAGATGGCCCTGGCAGAGCACTGCATGCCCAGGCTGCCTGCCTGGGGCTGGCGGGGTGCAGGGCAGCAGGGGGGCACTGGTAACACCCCGCTGGGCTATGAGCACTGGCTGCAGTTGCACAAGAGAGAACACCCCAGAGCCTGGCTCCTGGAAAGGCTGTGGGATGCTTCCCACCTGTTTCCCTTTGTACAGTGATCTAAGGCAAGCTCTGCCATGCCCCAGCTCTGGGGTGAGCCGGCTGTGCTGGGGGCCCTGCTGTCACCCACCCACAGGGGCAGTGAGAGGGGTTTGTCAGGCATTGCAGGAGCAGCCCCGGGGCTGCAGCATCATGATTCCAGGGATGCCATTTCCATGAGGTGCCCTTGGCCTCTGGAAATTGCTGTTTCTCTCAGGTTCTGAGAGGTTCTGCTGAGGATTTGTCTCTCTGTTAAGGTGAAAGAGGGCAATGTGTGTCCCTGCGTGCTCAGCTGTTCCTGCAGCTGTGGTGTGCACAGCTGCTTCTCCCGTCCTTCCTAGACAATCCCGATAGACACAATATGATGCATTTTTATTACAAACTCCTTGATGAGATCATGGAGTTCATGACTGACCTGAGCATTGAAAAGGGGAGGGAGAGGTATGATCCTTTTTCTATGTAAATACCTTCCTAACAATCATCATCCATAGTGCCTAGTATGTAAATGAAGCAGCCCTGTCTGAGCTGCAGGATCCTTTCCTCTCCACCACTAATTAGCAGCTTGCTCAAGGAGTTGATCCCATTCCCAGTCCCCCAATGCCTCTTCCTCCTCCCAGTGCTCCCAGTGTGGGTGGGCAGCTGGGCAGGCCTGGAGCCCCAGAGCCCCAGAGCCCACGGCCGGGCAGGCAGAGCCACCTGCAGCAAGGGGAGTGTTTCCCAAGGGGATGGAGAGGGAGCACCCCAGTTCCCCCTTCATGCCAACGTAATGTGCTTGGAAATGAGTTGTCAGGGTGAGGCCTGTGCTTTTCCCTGGGTGCATTTGCCTCAGAGCAGGAAGGATCAGCTCCTGTGTGCTGTACCTGCTTCAGTCACTGCTGCTTTTCTGGGGGAGAGGATAGCTCTAGAGATACTATATATACACTTATATATATATATATACACACACATACAGGCACTTGTTTTGAAGGGAATACACTGTATGATTGTAATAGAAATGATGTTGAGATAAATTATTTTACTCTTTGTATTTATATAAAATGATCAAAGAGATCATGAAAAAAAAAAAAAAGATCAAAAAGATACTCTTCCTATTTTTTGCTGAGAAGGCTGCTGGAGATACTGCAAGCCCAGGAGCTGCCAGAGCACAGGCAGGGCCTGCCCTCCCCTCCTTGTGCCAGGGGCTCTAACAGACCCACCTCTCACTCACATTGTAAGTGAGCCCTTAGCCTGTAAGGTGTAACAGGCATCTGTAGGTGCATTTAGTCTGTGCTCTGGACTCCTTGGGAATCTAAAGGGTGCACACAGCTTTGACCTGCACCACACACCTGAGAGCACAGACCAAGGAGTGCAACCGCCAACACCTACGTGCTCTGTATGGAACAGGCAGTGTTTGATGTTGACTTGTAAAGCTTAATGATTAGACTGGAAATGGAAGCATAGCAATAACGCTCGGTTGTTAAACGTCTTGTGTGTAAACCATCACGTGCTGAGAGCCGTCTACTGACTAACAGCCGGGCTCCTCTCCTCTGCTCCCCCCAAGGCTCATGGATTTGATGTGTTGGGTTTGCTAATCTCTTTTCATTATTATTATTATTATTATTATTATTATTATTATTATTACTATTCCTAATGCTGTCTGAGAAAGTGATGTTGCAAATGCACCTTGCAGCAGGTGCAGGGTGAGTGGTGGGTGGGTGAGATGTGCCTGCCACACTTGCTGCAGCAGAGGCGGTTCTGGTGAGGGGTGTGCACTCCCCTGGACTTATTTCAGCCCTGTACAGATTAGTCAGGAAGTTCTCTCTCTTGACCCTGTTAACTAAAAAGCCATATTTTCTGAATGTGTTTGCTGGGACTAATCTAAGTGCTTCCGGCTGCATCCTTCCCATCCCCGCTAGCCTCCTAACCTTCCCACTGCTGCATGGCTCTGTGCAGAGACTGTCTGCACTGGGGCCAGGCCCCACTGCTTGGGGAAGCTTTGCCCAAGGCAGAGCCCAAGGCTTTCTGTGAACTGCCTTATGGCAAGTGAAGCTGGGTTCAGGGCCCAGCTGATGGGTGCTCTGGAGGGGCTGAGGGGTGGTCTCTCTGGGTGCCCAGGAAAGCTGGTAGTGACACAGCATGAACTGGCTGGAGCCAGTGGTGTGCAGGGAGTGCTCTGCTCTGCACAGTGCATCTCCATGCACAAGTTCCCTAAAACGAGCTCCCAGAAGGCAGAGGAGCAGCAGCACTGCAGCTCTGGCCAGCACTTCCCAAGTTCTCCTCAAGCTCTCCCCACTGGGAAGGTAAATCAGCAGCATGACAAGGGACTTCCATTTACAGGGCTTAGGTGAACCTTTCTGAGTCCTTATGTGCAGCCTTGTGAACTGGCTCCTGCTGCCCCAGTGAAGCCCCATGACCTGCCTTTTTCCTAGAACAGCAGCCCTCATGTCCCAGCAGCCGTGACGAGCCAGTCTCACTGTACTGATGCCGCAGCTGCCTCAGTGCACGCCTGTTCTTGTCACTCTCCTGCACTGTCAGTGCCTGGCTGCCAAGTCCTACAGGGAATGCAACAGGAGGAGAGAGAACTCCCTTATGCCCACAGATTGCCTCATGCTGTGGATAAGATCAGGAGTGCCAGTGTGCCAGGCTGGGTGAGCAGGAGGAGCCTGGGATCGATGAGCACAGCGGCCGCGGAGGAGCTGCCAGACACTGTGGCCTGTAAAAGCACAAAGATCAAAGCGCCGTGTCCCCTTGCTGTCAGAGGAGCCCTTTGCTCCCCAGGGCCCTGTTTCTGCCTCTGTCTCCTCTCCTCCTGCCCTGCAGGGATGCTGCTGTCCCAGCCA